CAGTTCATATGGAAGTTGTAGCATGTACAGCACAGCAGCACTCATCGGTGCCACAATAATCTACTGCTAGTCTCCGTTCTCCATTAGAATTTTTCACTGGATATATGGGCATATCAGGGGTGAGTGAGTCCTGCTGATCTCTCCTTGAGTCTCCAGTCAACACATCAGCTGAGGGATAGGAACCGGGGACTTTTGGTTAGTGCGACATTGCCCCTGGTGCACCATTGTGGCAGCAATTGTTGCCTGTTGTTCTTCAACCCTCAGCAACCCCACATTAGAAGGTTCCTCTGGGAGATCGGACAAGGTAGACAGCTGCTTAATTTCCTCCATCTCCAAAGCAGCTACACTGAAAGCTCACTAGTACCCTTTTGGGTCCTTGAAATACCCTTTCCTGAGATAGCCTATGGCAACAAGGCCCTGCAGAGTACCTCAACAAATTAGAGACATGAGCAATCACCAACCATATGAACAAGGGCAAGTGTCAAATTCTGCACCTGACACATGGAAATTCTGATTATGTGTATGGACCAAGGAAAAAGAGGCTGGAGGGCAGAAAGGGACCTGGGGGTCCTGGTCAATGGCAAGTTGAATATGAGTCAGCAGTGCCCCGGCAGCCAAGAGGGCCAACTGTGTCCTGGAGAAAATCAGGTAAAGCATCACCAGCCAGCTAAGGGAGGGGATTGTCCAGCTCTGCTCTGCACTGGTGCAACCTCACCTTGAATATTGTGTGCAGTTTTGGGGACCAAAATATAAAAACCCCATTAAGCTCTTAGAAAGCACCCAATGGAGGGCAACAAGAATGGTAAAGGGTGTGGAGGTGAAGCCTTATGAGGAGTGGCTGAGGTCACTTGGTCTGTTCAGCCTGGAGGAGACTGAGGGGAGACCTCGTGGTCATCTTCAACATCCTCACAAAGGGAAGCAGAGGGACAGAAACTGACCTCTTCTCTGAGGTGACCAGTGATAGAAGACAAGAAAACAGCATGAAGCTGAGTCAGGGGAGGTTTAGGTTAGATATCAGGAAAAGATTTTTCACCCAGAGGGTGGTTGGGCACTGGAACAGGCTCCCCAGGGAAGTGGTCACAGCACCAAGCCTGACAGAGTTGAAGAAGCATTTGGACAATGTTCTCAGGCACATGGCATGATTCATGGGGTGTCCTGTGCAGGGTCAGAAGTTGGACTCAATGATCCTTGTGGGTCCCTTCCAACTCAGCATATCCTATGATTCTATGACTCTATGAACGGTGCACAGAGCCTCTTGGCCAGTCATATGGGGTTTCTTTGCCCCTTATTCCCAGCCAGACTGATTTCAGCCTTCAATACAGTCAGCTGTTGGGTTCCCCTTGTCACTCCAGAGATACAAATGGGTTCTTCCCCTATATGATTTGATGGCATTAAGGTACACTGTGCACTGCTGTCTACTAGAGCCTTAGGCTCATGTGCGTCCAACATGACAGGCTGGATCCACATAGTTTATCAAAACTTTTTCTTCCTCTCCTCCACCTGGCTGGAAGCAGAGCCCTTCTAGTCCTGGTCACAGGATTCTCCACTTAGTTCGTGTAAAATTGGATTAAAATTCAAATCTCTCTCTCCAAAGTATTTCTTCTAGAAATCTAAACCAGATAACTGTCTTTCACGTTTTCTCATAAATTGTTTGATAAATTTATAATGAAAAGTAATGTAAAAATTCCAGAGTTTTTCTGGGAGTAGATTCAGCTTTTTGTATGACTGTGTGGTGAAGAACAGAGAGCAAAACTGGAAGAATTGCAAGTATTCCACAGAAACATAAATAGATCATATTTACTTTGTGAATATGTTTGCTACCTGCAAAAGTTAATGAAATTTTTTATTTAGGAATTATATCTGAGCATAGTTGTTGAAAGGAAAGTACTAGATTAGTCCATTTAAGCCTTCTTACACATATATTTCCCTCTACCATTTCAGTATACTGAAATCTAATATGAAATTAAAATTAAAGCAATAGTGTAAGAATGTTAAATTTTAAAACAAGTACATAAATTTAAGGTCAGTCCAGTTAGGGACAGGAATGTTTTCCAGAAGAAATGACATGTCCTGTCTCACTAAACCCCATACAAATCCGATCCAGACACTAATACTCTTCTTGGTTACAACTTCATTTGATGAATTTGGCCAGTTGGGCTACATCTGGGTGGAAAGAATCTACCTGCATAAATCCAATTGTGAGACTCAGGTCTTTGTTATAATAGAAATCATCAAAAAGAACTGTATTTCAAAGGAAAAGAGAGTAAATCTGAGGCCAAAAAATTGATTTATGAGGAATTACTGAGCACATTAGATATCAGATTAGAGATGATGGGCCACTGTGCTTGTCTTCAGATGAGAGGGTACTAACTTTTCAGGCAGATGTATTCTTTTCTTCCTAGTCCACTGTGGATAAAATTAGTTTAGTTTTGCTTTTGAAGGGATCCGTACAATTCTAGTACATCATGTTGTCATGATTACATTGTGTCACATCTTTCCACAGTCATAGCTTAATCATAGGCCATTCAAGTGAGACTTGGACTCAATGATCCTTGTGGACAAAATATTCTGTGAACTAGTCTCCACTGCCTTTTTTACAAAGCTATCCTGGAGTCTTTCATCTGCAATCTATATAAAGACATCATAAGTGCCTGGACAGAGTGAAAACAATAGAAATTCAGATAATATATTTCTTACAAATGGCAAGTAAATTCATTTTTAAAGCTGAAATTAAATAAAGGAATCAGTATAAATGTCCTTTATCTTTGAGAAAAGAGTATGAGAAGTAAGAGTTAAGGAAAAAGAGCAAACACAAGTGATGAGATTTTCCCTTCCACCCTTTCAACCTCAATGAATATTTTATTGAATTTTGGAAGGCATGAGAGAACATTTTTTTTTTATTCTAAGGAGGGGAATTTTCAATAGGATTTTATATATTTATTCTAGAAGTAGCATTTATTGCAACTGCTTTGTTTTCTAGTAAAATTTGTTAAAGGCTACAAAACTAGGTCCTTTTGACGTTAAAAATGAAGGTGACTATTCTGTTCAGTGTCTCACTGTTGAGGTACCTGCTCTGAAAGGGACACACCTTTGCCAGTATAACCATATTTTGCTAGCATTAGTTCCACTGAAATCAAAAGAAGGCATTGGGTAGCTATAGCTGATGCTAGATGAAGAGTTGCGTAGATTCTCATGCAGAACTCATGGAGACACAGCAGAATTCAGACTCTGACATTACCATCCTCTAAACTGTTATGATTTTAAAGAATGAAAAAGAGTGATAACCGTGCTGAGAGCACACTTTTTTTTTAAATTATTTAAAGCTTGTACTTTCCATCATGCTATTTATTTCCTTGAAATAACCATTTGTTCTTGCACTAAATTCAACAAAGGCTCGTGAGTCACTAAGTTTAAAATTGATTTCGCTTTCTGGATCAAGTCCCCATGTATTTCTTCATTTGCTGAAAGGACACAGGCTCACAATATTTTCAGTGCTCCTGGTAGCCCAGGGGAGAGTTCTTTAATTGGTGAGTGTACAAAAAAAATAATAATTCCCTTGTAAGAAAATCTCCTCTACAGATGCTATGCTTTATTCTTTTATCTGGGTTGAGCCTGTAAGCCAGAGTACCTCTATTTCCCTATTGAAAACTGTGGGGGTTGGACGTTCTTCACTATCAACTCATTTCAAAAGAAATTTGTGAAACTTGGAACTTCAGAGGGCCGAGCCCTTGTTGAACTGGTCAGCTGAGGTTCAGAGAAGAAGGTCCTTACTAGGGGAGATGCTGTCATAGCTGACCTTCCTCTGAGGAGAATGTTGGACTCTAGACCTCCTGAGATCCCTTCCATATTGAATTTTCCTGTGGTCCTAAAACTCCTCTTGGTTTTAGAGAAAAACATCAGAGTTCACCATCTGTTGGGTAGAATCCAGTCTATATCTAAAATTCTGGGATGGGTGAAACAAAATGGGTTTAATAGCCTTAGCTAAATATTAGAACTCCAAGTCATATTATTCTTTTGGGTTTTGGTTTAAATTTGTCCTCAGAATAATTTTTATGTCAGGAGGGAAAAGAAGAAAGAGCACATTAATGACCTTTATGTTTTGAAAGAGGTGAGAAAAAAGTTATTAAACTGCAGTCAGGTAAAGCTCTTTGCACAGCCAGACGGGGAAATATTTGCAGAGACTTCAGGGTGGGCTTTGGGCAGGAAATGGTTTGGATTCATGAAAGTGGAAAAGCATTTAGCTAAATATTTACCTTGTATGTAGCTTGAAGTGGTCAAGTGAAAACAGAAGGTCATATGACATTTGCAGATATCTCCAGATAATACTAAATATAGGCAGGAGTTTGCCTTTGGGGAAAGGGGCCTTTACACTGACATAATGTTAGTTTCAGAATTTACTTCTGACTTCCACAACATACCTAATACAAGTGCTTTTTGTTAACAGAATCTAATCATGAGACAGCTGTGGAAACATAGTAATTTATATTTTGAAATAGCACCATGACAATTAATGAGAATTTCTGAAATTACCAGGAAATATATTAACTCTTGAACTGGTGGATGACACTAAAATGAGCAAAAAGCAGTTTTGCTGCAGTAATAATATCAGACTCGTGGAATACTAGGGTTTCTTTCTATGGTGGGGGAAAAAAGTTTTCCCCTGGAGTTAAAAAAAAATAGTAACCCCCGAGAGGTGGTGCCCTTGGGGTTGAGCCAATGAGCGCTCCTGCAAAATATAAACATATCACACTCAGACCGGAAAAGAAGCTGAGGTAGTTGTTGGAGAAGAAGTGACCATGCTGTAAAGCCACGAGGAGAAGGGGCGGGAGCCCTGTTGGGGGCTAGACCCCCCCCCCTCAGCCCCCAGCTGGGGGCTACAAGAACTTGGAACAGTATTAAACTGGTCTGAGTTCTGTAGCTGAGAGCTGGAAGAGTTTCTCCACTGTAAGCAGCAGCAGGAGATACTGGAAAGCGGCGGCAGAGCAGCAGCAAATGGAGAGACTGTGGCAGAAAGCCAGAAGAGATAAGAAGAAGCAGCAAAAGCGGCATGCAGCCAAGGAAGACACAAAGATCTCTAATGGAGAGAGCGAGAGAGAACTAAGTTCTACGGAGACAGTTTGGGGTAAGAACTGAAACAAACTCCCCAAACCCCTCTGAGACCTCCTAGAGAGGAAGAGAAGATGGACTCCCATTTGAGAAGAGTCTTGGAGTGCAGCATGCACCAGAGAGAGGAACTAAGAAGCTCAAGACATCCCGGAGCTGGACCGGGACAGTCAGACAGAATGTGGAGGGGGTGACCTCGCCTCCCCCCGCCCCCCGCTGCTGCCAAGCTGGCAACAGCCTGAGACAGAGCACAGGAGCTCTGATAGAACTCTTGAGGCAAAGGCTTTTCAACTGAAAGCTGACTGAGATGTTCTGACTCAGGGGTGAATCCCCTGAGGAAGGGACCTTCATGGGGGTCTTACACTCCATGATATGACGTGGTGAAGCGAGTTTTGTCCCTGCTACGCAGCCCACGGAAGAGACAGAGACCTTCGATTGGAGTCAAAGGGCTGAGAAGGGGTGAGAGGAGACCCCCATTGTGTGTATTTGGAAAGTGGTCCAGCTACAGCTGCTGCATGGAAGAAGAGAGGCTGCTGCTCTGAGAGAGGAAAGGATCTTTCCTTTTCCCTTCTGGACTTTTATTGGAGGGAGAAGAGATCTGATCCATTGTAAATACTGATTTATCATGGTAGAGATAGTTGAGATTGTGTGTGTAATGTATTATAATATTTATGTGTACAGCGATTGTAATATAATTCCCTTCCCCCCATATTGAGTCTTGTGTTTTTGTCTGGAAAACCCATCTCACGCTGGGGTGAGTTGTGGGAGGGGGGCTTGGACTCATGAATTGGATTTTTGGGGTCTCAAACCACCACACTTTCTTGTCTTTTTTTTTCTTTTTTTCAGTGTACTCTGACAATCTGAGTTTCTAAAGGAAATGAATTTGCATTCAGTCAATAACTATAATAATTATAAAATATTTAATATGGCTAACTTCACAATCTTTGATGCATTTATCCACAAAAAACATCCTGTAGTGAAAAACATATAGTTATGCCTTGTCACATAATTTGAAGACTTAATTTTGAATGGCATATAGTAGAATTTTAAAATTTTAAAGTGGTTTTGTGGGATTAAAATTAAGCCAAATCCACTCAAACATTTTATGCCACTAAGTAGCTTTATAAAATGGGCCAAACACTGAATACCTGTGGCAATCCGTAGATAATGCTGACCTGCTAAAGTCAACATTTTAACTTAGCATTACAACCTAAGCTTTTACTTCCTACTGGAATTACCTTCCAGTACCAGAATTACTCTGACTGCTCAAAATTTAGAATGAATTAAATGTCTTCTCAAAGTCCTGAACAGGCTGACTAGACAAAAGCTGACTTGCTGACTAGGAAACAGCTCAAGGCAGCCTCATGGAGAAGGATGCAAAATATCAAAAGATTTTACTTCATCACGCCCTTCCTTTTACTGTTCACCGCTGAGATCACTGATGAGATGGGGAAGCACCTTGCCTATGGGGCCCACACTTGCTTCCTATAGACTCCCATGAGCTTTGAATCTTCTCACAGACTCAATTACTGCTTACATGTGTGTCTCCTGCTGCCTGCTCATCATTAGGAGTGGGATACTTCACGATTCAGCTGATCATGCAGAGATGTCTAGAGCCACATGCCACCTAAGACACCCACTTGGGTTGTCAGCTCCAGAGTAGGAACTGTAGGCTACTTCAGAACTGGATCCTCTTCAAATTGAGAAATACTGCTGATGCTCTGAAGCGAAATTTTCAGCACGAACACTTCTCTGGAAGGGCCTCGTTTTCCCTGCTGATTTTAGGAGGAACATGGTTATTTCATACAGGTTCTAACAGAGCGGGATTCAGTTCAAAAAAGGTAATTTATCTGACTTCATTTATGTGTCAAAAGGCCAGCTGGAGACCAACTCTTCTGTCCATGTATAGACTTCCTTGCTATCATTTGAAATGTCTGTGGCACCCTATGCATCTGCACAGGACTGACAAATAAATGCAGTAGGACCTAGGGGAGATATACACCTTTCAGAGCAGCAGACCGGGGCCAGGACTTACACTTTGGAGTGCCTGTCATGCCACAAGGGTCTGGGGGATTGGCAGCTAAGCCAAGTTCACTGACTGGAAAGGCAGCAAAGACATCTAACACTCAGACTCCTGCCAAATTTTTGTCACACCTTAACTTCAAACTGGATTCCAGCTCATACAAGAGTATGATACGAGAGGGTCATATGGCTGACATGACATGAGAGGTTGGATTCAGTTGCTCAAAGAAAGGATTGGGTACCATTTTAGGCACTATGAGTTGTCTTATGTACCTTCTATCCACCACTGATGAACCAATTCAAATGACACCAGTGTATCTCAAATCACAAGAAGATCCCTATGTTAATTGAATCCCATCTAAGATGTCATCCAAGTTCTATATCTAGAAAATATTCAATATTTCAAAAGTAGTAGCCATAGAACCAGGATATTTTGTACCTTTTTTGCTATAAGCAAAACGTCTTGATGATTTTTGAGTGGTCTTGGGAATCTGGAGTGGTCTCAGCTGACTGGAAGCTGGCGAACGTTGTCTCAATTTTCAAGAAGGGCAAGACAGAGGGCCCCAGAAACTACTAGCCTGTCAGTCTCACTTCAATGCCTGGCAAAATTATGGAGAAGATTATGCTGGGAGTTATTGAAAAACACCTGAAATACAACGAAATCATTAGTCACAGCCAGCACAGCTTCATGAGAGGAAAGTCCTGCTTACCAAAACTGATTTCTACCTATGACAAGGTAACCCACCTAGCTGACCAAGGGAAGCCAGTTGATGTAATCTTTTTGGATTTAAGTAAAGCTTTCAATACTCTCTCTCACAGGATCCTTCTGGACAAAATGTCCAGCACACAGCTGGATAAACACATCATGTGGTGGGTGAGCAATTGGCTCATGGGTCAAGCACAGAGGGTAATAGTGAATGGGATAACACCAGACTGGTGACATCACTAGTGGGGTTCCACAGTGCTCCATCTAAGGCCTATGCTCTTCAACATCTTCATAAATGGCCTGAATGCAGGACTGGAAGGGATACTGAGCAAGTTTGCAGATGATACAAAACTTAGATGAGCCTTTGACTCCCTCAAAGGCAGGGAGGCCCTGCAGAGACCTCGAAAAATTAGAGAAATGAGCAATCACTAGGTATATGAACTTTATAAAGGGAAAATACTGGACTCTGAACCTGGGATGGGGCAATCCTAGATGGACGTGCAGACTGGGGAAAGAGATATTGAAAATCAGTGCTCCAGAAAAAGAATTTGGGGGTCCTGGTCGACGGCAAGTTGAATGTGAGTCATCAGTGCCCTGGCAACCATGTCCAGGCAAAGCATCACCAGCCAGCTAAGGGAGAGGATTGTTCTGCTTTCCTCTGCACTGGTGAGGCCTCATCTTGAGTTCCGTGTGCAGTTTTGGTCACCACAATGTAATAAAGATATTAAGCCACTAGAGAGAGCCTAAAGGAGGGCAACAAAGATGGTTAAAGGCTTTGAGTGGAAGCCGTGTGAGGAGTGGCTGAGGTCACTTGACTTGTTCAGCCTGGAGGAGACTGAGAGGAGACCTCATCACAGTCTACAACTTCCTTGTGAGGGGAAGAGGAGGGGCAGCCACTGATCTCTTCTCTGTGGTGACCAGTGACAGGACCTGAGGGAATGGCCTGAAGTTGTGTCAGGGGAGGTTTAGGTTGGATATTAGAATAAGATTCTTCACCCAGAGGGTGGTTGGGTACTGGAAAAGGCTCCCCAGGGAAGTGACCACAGCACTAAGCCTGACAAAATTCAAGAAGCGTTTGGATGATTCTCTCGGGCACATAATGTGACTGCTGGGGGTGGTCCTGTGCAGAGCTAAGGGTTGGACTCAATGATCCTCGTGGATCACTTCCAACTCAGCATATTCTATGGTTCTGCGAGGCTGTGAAAGCTGAGAGGAACAAGGGTGGAGAAGGAAAAGGTATGAAAAGAAGGAATGAAATCTCAAACCTTTTTTGTAATCTATGAGTGTGCCTTCAAGACTTTCAATGTTTATTTGCAGCAAACGTCCAAAGCTGCTTAGCCATATCTTGAAATTCCTGTTGTGGGCAATCTTATTTTCCACTTCAACCTTCACAATGACTCTCAACTACTAGATAGATCTAATAGTGTCAACAGAGTACAGTTATTACACTTGAGGTTATCAGTTGTAGAGATCTGCTGACCAGAAAGACTGCCTATACTCAAAGTTTTAGAAAAGAATAATTTTTTCTTTACTTATGTAGTGATTGTTATTGATAATAATATAGCAATGTTGATAGCAATCAAAAGGTAGAGGAATAAAAGAAATCCTTTTTAATATAAAAATGTTTAACATTTTATACTTTGAGATCGGTCTTTTTTATTCCTCTTCCTAATATTTCTTTGTGGATGTGCTGTATCTGCAGCAGTTCATTAATTGTCAGTAAATCTAATTATGCAATATTTACAATGTCTAATTTACCTTTACTTTCAGCTAATTGGCCGATTAGTCTGATTTGGGGAATAATCAGTTTACAGTGCTGAGCACATAAATGGAATTTTGAAAGGGAGAACAAAAGAACTGAGCAAATGGTAACATACAGTTTTTTTCCTAACCCTTCCTCTGAAGAAATGTAGTGATACTCTCCCCACCCCTTGCCGCCTTCCTTTCCATATATTACCTAGATTATGGAAAACTGCTATAGGTCAAGTTAAATTTGGTAAGTATGTCAAGTTATGTCATGTTTTCATTCTTGGAACAGTCTGAAGCAATGCGGAGTTTGCCTATTGTGGTGACCAGTGAACAGAACCCGAGGGAATGGCCTGAAGTTGTGTCAGGGGAGGTTTAAGTTGGACATTAGAAAAAAGGTTCTTTACTCAGAGGGTGGCTGGGCACTGAAACAGGCTCCCCAGGGCAGTGGCCACAGAACCAAGCCTGACAGAGTTCAAGAAGCATTTGGATGATACTCTTGGGCACATGGTGTGACTGCTCGGGATGGTCCTGTGCAGGGCCAGGAGTTGGACTTTGATGATCCAAGCAGGTCTCTTCCAAATCAGGATATTCTGTAATATTGTTTTTATACCAAAAACCAAAGGTGGAATACCTGAAAGCATCTGAATTTTCAGTCGCTACAAGACCATCAAGAGAAAGTAATTATCCAATTTATTTGATTCCACACTATACATATTCAGAGTT